GAGGTAGGGAGACAAGGACTATTACGCGGTGGTTACGTTGGACATCCGCAATTCCCTTAACTCAGCAAGCTGGTCTCGCATACAGGGAGCCTTAGCCCGAATAGGGATACCGTCCTCCCTTTTCCGAATAATATCCAACTACTTGTCCGATGTTGAGTTATGATACGGAAGACGGTGCTAGGAGTTACATGGTCTCAGCAGGGGTCCCACAGGGGTCGGTCTTGGGACTACGCCTGTGGAACATAACCTACGACGAGGTGCTAAGATGCAGAATCATAGGATTCGAAGATGATCTAGCTCTAGTAGTGGTGGGCAAAGAGATAAAAGAAGTAGGAGCCGCAGCGAATGCAGCCATAAGTAACGTGGCTAGCTGGATGCGTCGTGCTAGCCTGAAGCTGGCAGGCCATAAAACAGGGGCTGTGCTTATCACAAGCCGCAAAATAGCTGAGCTCGCTAGATTTCAAGTAGACAACGTTAGTATCGAGTCATAGGCTTCCATCAAGTATCTGGGAGTCATATTACACAATAGGCTTAGCTTCGACCACATGTTATGTTAGTCAGAGAGTAGCCAAAATACAGACGGCCCTTTCGAGGATGCTACCCAACATAGGAGGACCTAGAGCAGGTAGACGTCTACTGCTCGCTGTGTAGCATCCGTACTGTTCTATGCTGCACCGATATAAGCATAAGCGGTTGCAAAGAAGAAAGGTCTCTAAAGAAGGTGTCAGTCTTCTACAGGTTCAGCGCACTCCGCGCTATTTCTGGATTGCGGAAAGCCGCCTGTAGATATATTGGCCAAGGCAATGGAGAAAATGTACATAGCCCGAAAAGTGCTGTCTCAGTGGACATCATCCGAAGGTGGGATAGAGCAGCATCTTTGGCAACTTGCAACAAGGGGATATGGACGCACAAACTAATCCCCAATGGACTAGGAGATGGAATAGAGAAAATAACTTCCACCTAACTCCGTTTTTTACTGGACACGGCGGGTACTGGACGTTCATGTTGGAAGGAGAGGACAACTAAGCGAGTTCATAATAGGCAGGGGTGGTGAATTAAGTACGTAGGTGTTGACGGAGTCAGCGAATCGTGCATACGTTAGAGCCATCAGTATCTTACGAAGATTTTCACCTCCTCAAGCAATAAAACAAAAAACACACACATACACACACTTACACACAGTATCACACTACTCCAGATAGAGAAAAATGTCGCCGCCCGCAATAATTGCTTCCTCACGACGAGAATGCAAAAATCAAACAGATAATCAACCAAACAGCTGATCACGACACCTAGCACTTAGCGGTGGTGCAGATAGAGGGCGCTGCCAATCGTAGCCGGCACACACCACAAGTAAACGGGAAACATTGCATACCCCCAAGTCGCAATATTTAATATTTACTGATATTCAAATCAAATCATTTTCAGAATTAACAGTCACAACTCTCCTAGGGGAAAAGGTACATAAGGTCAAGGAACCGACCATTGGACAACCCCGGCACGCATATGGTGTACCTAAAGAGGGCTCTGGTGACGGAGTAGCAGCGGTATAACTCCCAACTTGAGACTCATTCGCCACTGCAGGCTCGCTAGAACAATGATCACCATGAACGGCATCATCTCCACATGCGGCCGGAATCGAACCGTAACCATATAATTAACCTGGAGCTTGTTGAGTTTCTCCAAAAAGACTTGCTGCGCGTCATTCATCTGCAACATTACGGCTCCTGGGTGTAAACCTAAAGAGATATGGTAGGTGCTAGCTTTAACCTTTCCATTGCATCTACGGCACAAGCAAAATACGAATTCTTCATCCCTACTACCGTATTCTACAAGAAGAACGACGCGGCCTAAAATTGGACTGGCACCTGCCGCAGTCCTTACCATCGACGCGTATGGCTGCGCTGCCCAACCTGATTCCTCCTCCAAATCCAACATTCTCGTCCAAGCAGACTGACAGACTGGCCAGTCTCGTGTCCAACTGCCCTTTTCTCTTTTTCCCTTTTTAGTTCCACATCTGCTTCTATGACCTGGCGCTTCGTTATGTATGCCCAAACACGATCTTCATATGACAAGCCTCTAAAGATTTGTCTCTTAGTAATATTTCTCCGTAACCCTATTTATGTCCTTATTGTTAGCCTTGGTGAAAGATAGACGCGCTTGTGCAGCCATCATGGCATTCCCACTGAAATTTTCCGGACAGTTTTCGCACAGACTGTCGGGCTGCCTGTACCTTTCCGTTTTTTAGAACACGTCATCGAACTGTCCTGTAGTCCTGCTCGAGCAGACTAGCCGAGATTAGGCCCTACCTCTCACTAAGGCTTGCACCAGCTCTCTTGGCGGGGTTTCCATACGATGCGGTGAAAACACAACTTCGTGAACTTCGCTTCGATCCTTGCGAATATAGCGGCGGTTGCTCATATCCTGATCGGCTTTGCGACCAACGTGCGTCTCCACCTCTATGCACTTCATCGTATTAACGTACTTCGTCATGCACTCCTTCAAGCACCGCTTTAATATTTTTAGCAGTGGCCGGACTCTCAGCGATTTCTAGAATCGTTAAGCCAGGTGACGCATGTGGTGGATATATCCACTCTCTCGTCGGTTTATTACTCTCGTTGCAGCAGCTCCTGCACAATATCGTGTTCTGTCTGGTAGCCCGTAAACCGGGCAGGGGCAAATGAAGCCGCGCAGGAATTTCTTCCACGGCCATTGATATTGCCTCTGCAAGAACTCCAGTCGAAACACAAAGTCTTGGTCGGAGTTAATAGCGTCCTTGCCATCAACAGTTACGGTGAGATTACTCGGATTGCCCCACTTCCTCGTCTGAGTATCCGTTGAACTTTGGAAACGTTCCGCCATGTGACCCTTCGCTGCCAATTTATATATAACTACACATTTTCACGTTTAAATTCTCAACAGTAGATCTTATTGTGCTATAGAATATTTATATATTCTCAAAAAGTCAATTGCATTAAAATTGTGGCTTAAATTGGTGGGCAATATAGAATTGTTTATTTACTTGATTTATAGGTATGCGGGGAGGTGGCGATAGCTATAAAATAAAAGATACTTGAAATATATATATGCAATTCTAGAAACTACAGATCAATTTTGGAGACTCTAGATTTAAAAACCTAGGAGATTTGTTAAAAAAACAGGATTTCGATTTGGTTTTTTATCCATTACTTGGAAACGGGTCAAGTTATCGATTATCGGAAACAAACTAGTCGAGTCTCTAACTCTTATAGGTTCTGAAATCCTTGCGTTCATACATACGGATGGACGGACGGATGGACACACAGACGGTCATGGCTAAATCGACTCGGCTGTTGATGCTGATCAAGAATATATATACTTTATGGGGTCGGAGATCTCTCCTTCTATGTGTTACACATTTCCCGACCAAATTATAATACCCTCTGCAAGGGTATAAAAACAATGTACTGAAATAAAAAATTAATTTTTTTGTTACCAATTTGTATTGTATTGTATTTTAAATCAATGTGTAAATTTATTCTTGACAGACTTTAATTTTTTAGCGGATAAGTTAGCAACTGCGGTCCATTTGGTTGGCGAGGCCGACGAACTGCAGCTCTTCCACCTGGCCTATTATACTGACATCGGTCAGCAACCTTGTTTGAGCTAAACGTAAAATGGTACCCCACACGAGGCGCAAGCTCAGCGCTATTGCGGATACGGAAGTTGGCTCTTCCAACTCTAGCTCTATGAGTTATGTCTTTAGTTTTTAGATTGGATTTTAATATCGACCAGGTGTAACCAGGTGCCTGGTGTAATAAACGTTTCATTCCGTCCTGTCAATCCTGCCATGCCAATAGGCGATAATTGTAAATTTTTTTTTTCTAACTATTGAATATTTTTACATTTGTATTGACATTCAGTTAATGTAATGTTTTATTTTATTTAGAATGTATTTCTTTGCACTTAACTGGAACATTTATGTTTCTAGATTGGCTACTTAAATTAAGAATCTTCCTTTGTCAACTCTTCTAATGCATTAATGGCACAGAAGTCGTCTTAAAAAGATGGTAACTGCGAATCCTAATTTTCAGCTGCTGTAGTTTCAGTTGAAATTTGTCTAACAAATTTCGATTAGGTTAACCTCAATTGTTTCTTTAATAAGAGCATTGAATAGCTTATCTTGTTTATAAAGTCCCGACCAAATAATTATTATTAATTTAACAGACGAACATGGCTAGATCGTCTTGGCTGTTGATGCTGATCAAGAATATATATACTTTATGGGGTCGGAGATGCTTCCTTCTGCCTGTTACATACATTTGCACAAAAACATTATACCATTTTTACCCATTTTCAATGGGTTCAGGGTATAAAAAAAGTGCTATTTAATTGCTTGGAAACGGGGCAAATTATGGATTATCGGAAAAAACTCCTATTGTGCGGGCACTCGGGGACATACATTCAAAATTCCTCTAGCTCTTATGGGTTCTGAGATCGACGCGGTCATACATACGGACAGACAGACGGACATGGCTAAATCGACTTCTGCATATTTCATACACTTGCACAAAAACATTATACACTTTTTACCCATTTTAAATTGGTTTTAGTTATGTAAATCACGGAATTACAGTAAAGTGCATTAAAAGCAATGTAAATCAAAGAATAGAGAACGGTAAATGTAACGTTTTTCAGCGAAAATGGGTGGAAAACAAGAATGTATAGTTTCTTGACACTTGCAAAGATACGTGATATTTGTATGTTTTCTTTTTGCTGAAATTACATTTTGATGTTACTGTTTCTTTAAAAATAGCACTAATAACTATAACTAAAAAAAATCAAGATAAATATAATAGCTGGTTGCAAATATTTTTAATTTATGAGTTGTAAAAGTATCTTACTATTCAATGTTTAAGCCCATTCTTGACGTATTGTATGTCTTTCTAATAAGATAGAAAATGTTCACAAATACGAGTATTCTTGTTTTTGGAAAATATGTTATAATAATCTTAACTTACTGAACTCGTTGTTAACCGCCTGGGACATAGCTTCGCTAAGCAAGTTGTAGGAGCTTCTGTGGTGCTGTTGGTGTTCAACATTTTCACCACTGCCGGTATAAGGCTGCGTCGCCGCTAAAAATGAAGGTATCGAAGGTGCCGCAGTTGTTCCCACTGACGGCGTGGATGCTGTTTTTATATGTATGCTGAGTGGTATAGCATTTGCTGCTTGATGTTGATGTGTGTTGTAACGATTCGAATTTATTTCGTTTTCTATAGTACCTCCGGTTACACTACCTGCAAGGCATGTGGTTTTGCAAATGTAGTACAATATAACAGGAAGTAAGTAGTTCCAGGTAGATTTATCGACCATATTAAATTGCGTGCGTGGGGTCTCAAGTATTCAATAACGTACAACTTTGAATCGAGTTGTTTTTGTTTATCTTTATCTCCTTTATTCGTTCTTAATAGCCCTGATTAAGTGCCTGTGCTCTGCAAACGAAAATCAATAAAAAGAATTATCGACATTTATTTTTTTACAACATTGAATATTTGCAAATAAATTTAACAAAACATTAGGGATGCGATTCTGCTGGCTGTCCGGCTTTGCGAAATAAACCACAATCAAAGAAATAATGATACATACTTAGTTGATGGAAATGATGATGTCTCCTACCATCTATTACGTAAAATTACACAACTCAACATATTTTAAATTATACAAATACTCCTTTCATATGAAAAAAAAAAATTTTCCAATTCCATTTTTCGTAATATAGATTTTTAAATATTATAATTACATATGTGTGATACCTACAGACTGCAAAACTATTATATTCGTTCTATATAGCAATTAACCACAGCCAGATAAGGAGATAAAAGCAAAAAATTATCTTCCTGTGATCGTTTCACGTTTTAGTAAATCGTTCGTATTCGCTTTGCCTAACATGTGTACAACACTAAATACAATTATATAATAAACACTACAACTTTTAGTAATATAAAGAAAATTATATTTTTAGATTAATGCATTTTAGATAAATGCAATGCAGTGGATATTAATGAAAACCACCATTGCACAAACAAAATATTGTTAACATATATTCTACTTATCCAAACGTAATATAAATATGGCTGAAATTTTTTTTCCTTCAACGCTTTTTTATTTTACCATGAACCCATTGAAAATGGGTGAAAGGGGTGTAATGTATTTGTGCAAATGTATGTAACAGGCATATATAATATATATATATTCCCCAAAAATATATATTCTTGATCAGCATCAACAGCCGAGTTGATCTAGCCATGTCCGTCTGTCTGTCCACCCGTCCGTCTGTATGTATGAACGCAAGGATCCCAGAACCTTTAAAAGCTAGAGACTTTAAATCCCGCGCAGGTCGAGTTTGTTTCCGATATTCGATAACTTTCCCCGTTTCCAAGTAATCGATAAAAATCTATATCGAAATCCTGTTTTTTGAGCAATTTTGGTAAATTAAAGGAGCTAGAGTCGCTTGACATGTATCTTCTAGAAAAGTATATATATATATCAAGTATCTTTCATTTTATACCTATCGCCACCTCCCCGCTACTACCTAATTGCTATAAATCAAGTAAAAACAACAATTTATACTGCCCACCAATAAAAGCCACAATTTAAATGCAATTGAATTTTTGATAATACACGAATATTCTATAGTACAATAAGATGTAGAAAATTTCATCAAGATCGGTTAAGAAACACAGAAGTTATTAAATAAAGCATGTTATTGCTGGCCACGAGTTTGGGGCAGCAAGCGCAAATTCCAAGAATTTCTGTATGCATGCTTTGAATTCTATCAACAGCATTTCAATGCCGATTGTATTGTTTTCTGTGCTGCTAATTTAATTCGTTTTTTTCTCATTAAGACTCAATTGTTGGTGTGCGGTTAGTTGCAAGTTCGAACCCTGCCTGGGGAAAAAAATTTTTTTTTTTATTTTAATTTTTCTTTATTACTACTGCATTTGGTGTTTGGTCCCTAGTCGGGAGCTCCCGGCTAGAACCTCTTACTTGTTTTATAATGAAACTGAAATGTAGATTTAAACTGACATGTTGAACGATTATAAAACATAAGTCAAAGTCCAAACACATGTATTCCATATGCCCATAAAATTAATAACGTATAAATATTTATTTCACAATGTTACGTGTCGGTTTGTCTGTCGAAGGTCAACGCCGGCCAGCCAGTACTCTCATTAGGAGAGATATCCCCGTGCCCACCATCACGATCAATCGTACAACAAACACACCAAATCCACACGTCACTAAACATCTGACATCAAAACGTACACAAAGGCCATAACTACTAAAACTCACTAACAACAAATCGGACATCAATCGGTGGCTTCGCTGTTGTTTCCATGGCGCTAACGCCTATCCTGGGGTGCTAATAATTTGTTCATATGTCACCACCCTTTAATTCCAGATATAATACGGCACTTATCTGAACGACGTGAACATTCCCCATCAACAAACCTAACCGGAAATGATTCTTTGTATTAGTTGTGCATAATTGGTTGCATTAATTAAGACTTTTACAATAAACATTACTTTCTTAAGTTTCATTTCTTTACAGAGTACATTTTAACAAAGTTATTTGCGCGAACGTGAACAAGCGAAAAAACTTGGCAAAGGCTAGTGTCGGTTGCCACAAGAGTAAACACCAATGGGGAACAGGATACCTACACAAATAAACATATAACAGTGTATGCTACAATAATCACTCGTGCAGCAGGTAATTATGTATTAAGTCGCTTAATTTACCTTACCTTGCCTAAAGAGCTCTCTAGGGGGCGGTAATGGGCGATAGAAAGAGTTATTTTAAAGTGTGTATGTGTGTATTGTTCGTGCAGGTAACCAAATTTTAAGATTTTCTATTTACTGGGCAGATGCAATAACTCAACGCACAGCCGTAAGAACTTGGAAGCTGAAATGTTCACTGTAGATACCTTATGTAATGGAGGTGCACGTTAAGGCGCGGTTGCGGGAAATTCCTCCCGCAAGTGTCGAAAAATCGCGAAATACGTTTGTATGAAACTTTTTTGTTTACCAGCCGATCGGCGTCAATCTCAATTTCAAAGATCTTTGCTCAAATTCATTTGAGGGGTGGTTCACACTTTTCCAAAAAAGTATTCTTCCTTGGTGGAAATGGGGGTCAAAGACGGGGTGACGTTTCGCGCTCAAATTCATTTCCAAAGATCTATATGAAAAATCATTTGATACGTGTTTCACATTTTTCCTCGGTGAAAAGTGTGATTCTAAAATTTTTTTGGTGCAGTTTTAAGTTTTGTCCGATTTGCTTCAAACTTATTTACAGAGCTCTACATAAGAACTTAATAAATACGTGTTTCAGCGATTTGGGAAATAACACCCAATAATACAACAATTAGCAAATACCGTTTGTATGAAAATTTGTTGTTTACGTTCCGATCGGCCTCAAACTCATTTTCAATGAAATTAGTTCAAATTCATTTGAGGAGTGTTTCGCACTTTTTGGAACATCCATCCCTTCTTGGTGAAAATGGGAATCAAAGATTTAATGGGTGAAGTTTCGCGCCCGTTTATACCCGCTTGTATACAATATATATATAAATATATATATAAGACTCACAGAAAGAAAACTAAATCTTGGCTAAACTAAACGGCTGATGTGCTTGAGAGCCTGGTGGACCAGCCGGTCGGCCTCCGCTCCCTTAGGTGCCGGAATGACTTACAGATATTTAGTTTTAATTATTTATTATCGTTCTCGAGTTGCTTGTACTTTTATTTCCTTTAAATTTTGTTCGTTTTCCCAGTCCTACCAGCCCACTGGTAATTTTGTGGCTGGGCTAAGCACTAAGTGTCCCAATAAATGCTGGTGGTAGACACAAAGTTTTTCTTTTTATCGTCCGCCACGACATTATATAGGTATATATATAGGATGAGGGGTGTTATTAGTTTTGCGGACTTTTACGGGATTTTAATGGTGGGTCTTGACCAATGTAATATTTTTGTATTAATTTAAGGTTTGGAATGGCCGGAAATTTAAAAACGGTGCGTTTGCGCATAACCTGACCATATTGGCTCGCAACTCAAACCAGACTCTCCGTTGCTATGGGCAGCAACCAAACTTATACACTCAGAACTCATTGTGCTTTGCTGCCCATAGGCACAACGGCATACGTAGGTCAACGACCTTGGTAGGCCCAGGGCATTACAAAGGCTCATTTCGCTCATTCCCCTCCGAGCGAATCGAGCGGGAACACGCCCACGCTCTCCCACCTTATTTTTGCTCAAGGCAGTGGATCCGGAGCTAGGCGTTGCCACCCCTGCTAAATTTGGGGCACCATAATGTGCTTACTCTCACCGATATATCGATGTATCGTGTCGATACCCCTGGAGACTTCCCCGTGCAACAACAACTTATTTTATGAGTCTGGAACTAACACTATCCACTCAATTAACACATATCTAACTACGACCCATAGATAAGCTAGCAAAATACACACATAGAGATGGGCAGTAGTATGCTGTCGACAAATAGTCGGTTTTTGTCTGCAGCAGCGTTAAGTTGAAATCCCATAGATTAATTTTTTAAACCCCCTTTAGTCTGTGTAATGAATCACATCAATTAAATAAGCATTACATTATTATAAATCTTACATTTGGCGGCTCGTTAATGTCAAATACAGAGTACAAGGTGTGTGATCGAATAAAGTTGGCCGGCGCAAGAAAAGGATCTCGGTCAGCTGTTAGCTGTTACAAGTGGCTATACACAATAAGTTGATTATTCCGAATCCAGTGAGGATAGTAGTTTTTTGCCAAGAGGCTCTAGTCGGGAGTTCCGCAAACCATCTTTTACCAACACCGATTGCAGCTCGCGCTAAAAGCTTGTTTGCTTTAGCAGTAATAAAAAAAAAAATAGTCCGTTCAATAGGACTCAAACCCGCAACAGACCGGACAACAATTAATTTTTCATGAAACAAACAACACGTATTAAAATAGCTGCACATACACACAGCACAAAAAACAATACAATCGCAATTGGATTGATCCTTATAAAATTTAATAAAGACGCGCATGAATGTGTGTGTTCACATGTTTTTAATGTATAGAAAATGTTGCTGCCGCAGAACGAGTTTGTTTCCGATAAGCGACAACTTGCCCCGTTTACAAGCAATTGATAAAAATCGAATTCCTATTTTTGAGCAAATAAGTGACCAAAGAGACCAAAAGAAATTAGCAATGAGTTTGTTTCAAATTATCGACAACTCTGAGCAAAAAAAAATCGGTAGAGCGGTAGAGATATATATATCGAACAATTGTTGCAACAGGCATAATGAAGCATCTCTGACGGCAGTTTTTGAACAAAGAAGGTATTCGAAAAGGGAAATATGCTGTATCTGAGCTTACTCTCTAACTCTCGATATATTAGATATGTGCTCAAAAACCATGATTTAGATACCGATTTTTAAGA